ACCCCCGCTGACTTCAGGGTTGCCCCAAGAGCATGCCTCCCCATCCCTCTGCTCCCCACCCCACCCAGGGTGAGGCGTGAGGGGCTTCCCATCTCCTCCCTCCAGGGATCAATGTCTCAGCCAACCAAGACGAAGAACTGGATCATGAAACTTTCCTGATGCAAATTGACCGGGAGACAAGGAAGTGCACCTTCTATTCCAGCACTGGGGGCTACTGGACCCTGGTCACCCACGGGGGGATCCAGGCCACAGCCACACAAGTGTGAGTGCACCATCCCCACCTCTATGACCACCTTCACCTCCACCTCCACCATCACCATCACCACCTCCACCATCACCATCATCACCTCCACCATCACCATCTCTACCATCACCATCACCACCACCACCTCCACCATCACCATCATCACCTCCACCATCACCACCACCTCCACCATCACCATCATCACCTCCACCATCATCTCTATTACCACTACCACCTGCATCACCACCTCCACCTCGACCACGGGGACCACACAGCAGCCCAGCCAGGGAAGAATGCCCACTGGGGTGAGGGACAGCTCTTAATGGTGGTGGGGGTATCAGTGGAAGGCAAGTGCCTGTCCCTCCCCCTGAGGGAGTGGTATTGGAGTTGAGGGGGATGGGGAGGCCTGACCCTAAGCCCCCATATCTTGCTCCTCTGAGGGGACCTTGACCTGCCCCTTCCAGTTCTGAGAACACCATGTTTGAGATGGAGTGGCGGGGTCGGCGAGTGGCCCTCAAGGCCAGCAATGGGCGCTATGTGTGCATGAAGAAGAATGGGCAGCTGGCGGCCATCAGCGATTTTGTGGGTGAGCACTCCCCTCATTCCCTGGGGAGACTGGGGTGGGGGCCCTCTGCCTGGGGACAGGGCCAGCTCGGAGACCCTGTCTCCACAAGGGCTGGCCCCGCTCCCTCCCCGTGAAGCTGCTGCTGTCCACGACAGTAGTCATACTTGCTAGTCCAGATCATTGTTCCTGACATGGGGGAGCATTTCCAGAGCACCCTGATCACTGCTGCACATTTGGGGAACCGGGGGCTCAACGGCCGCAGGCCCCTGGCTAAGGCCACATAAGGCAATGGCAGTGGCAGATCGAGGCACACAAGCTGGGCAGTGAGTCCCGGCCTGGAGCTCTTTCAGGGGAGCTCCGTTAAGGCCCCTCAACCCCTTTCTCGCCATCAGGTGAGGACGAGGAGTTTATCCTCAAGCTCATCAACCGGCCCATCCTCGTGCTGCGGGGCCTGGACGGCTTCGTCTGCCACCGCCGAGGCTCCAACCAGCTGGACACCAACCGCTCCGTCTACGACGTGTTCCACCTGAGCTTCAGCGACGGCGCCTACCAGATCCGAGGTGCGGGCGTGCGGGATGGGGCGGGGGGAGCGCGAGGAGCTGGGGCCCGGAGAGAGTGGGGGGCGCCGAGGGGGATAGGGGGAGCGCGGGGCCGGGAGCGTGCCGCCCGCCGACCGCCGCTCCCCTTATCCCCCAGGCCGCGGCGGCGGGTTCTGGCACACCGGCAGCCACGGCAGCGTGTGCAGCGATGGCGAGCGCGCCGAGGACTTCCTGTTTGAGTTCCGTGAGCGCGGCCGCCTGGCCATCCGCGCCCGCAGCGGAAAGTACCTGCGCGGCGGCGCCTCGGGGCTGCTGCGCGCGGACGCAGACGCACCGGCCGGGTTTGCGCTCTGGGAGTACTGAGTGCCGTCCTCCTGTCCCCCATTAAACCGTGTCTGTGACCAGCGGCTCGCGGGTCAGTGGCGCCGCTCGGGGTGGGGAAGGGTGTGCGCGGAGGGTCTGCAGGCTCGCTGGTCTCAGAGTGCTGCACAGGAGCAGTCCCTGGCCCCTCCGCCCTGGGGTTCCTGCGATGGCCGCTGGACAACTACCCCCTCCCCCCCCATCCCTCATGCCCAGAAAATCCAAGGTTGGGGCTTGTCCAGGGGGGTCCAGCCGATTGAACGTCCCACAACCCCATCCTGGACAACCAGTCCCGGGCCTCCTCTTGTCCGCCCCCCGCCCCCGGGATTGTCTCTCCTTGGCGTACGTCCCCTCCCTAAGCCCGGGAGAGGGGACCCCCACTCTACTCAGCAGGACCGGGGTGGGGCTGGGGGAGCTGGAAGGAGCCCGGTCCTAGGCCCCAGCAAGTCAGGTAGGTCAGAGGGTCTTTGGAGTCTCCATAGTGCACATCACTGCTCCCTTCCCCAAAGGCAGGGTCTTAGAGAATCCTGGAAGCACCTGATGGAGAAGTGATACCCACCTGTCCCAAACAGGGCTGTGTGTGGTCAGCCATGGGGGAGAGGACCCTTCTCAGCCTCTGCACCAGCCTGCTACCACCCAGACTAGGAAGGGTGGATGACCAGGACAGGGCCCATGGTTCACCCACGTGCCTCCCCAAACCAGCTGGCACCCAAAACCCCTGGGTCCCCAAGGACCCCCACCCAGGGCAGTGTCTCTTATGAGCTGGGTAACCTTGGAACATTGGAGGTGGGAGTGGGGTGAGAGGCATGCCCCCTGGGATTGGCCTGGACCTTGGGGACTGGGGTGGTGGAGGGCTGGGGGTACAGTCTAAAGCCAGGAGTAGGGGGAGACCACAGACACAGGTGACCTCATGGACCCTTCCCCTCAGCCCACACCCCTCTCCCCACCCTGGGCAGCCCCCACCCTTGCCTGGGGCCTGAAGCCCCACCTCCAGTGAGTCTGGCCAGTGTGAGGCACTTTGGGAAAGGAAGGCAGCAAGGAAGGGGTGCAGAGCTGGTTCCAGAGGGGAGTGGACACATATGGCCAGGGAGGACAGGAAGGGGTGAGGCATCCTGGGGGTGGGGAAGACCAGCAAGGACCCCTTCCCAGTCTCTCGCCAGGGCCCCCCTTGGCTGACTCCCCACCTTGCTGGCCTCCCCTCATCTTAGGAATGAAGAAGGGCTGGGAGCCAAATGGGCCAACACACTTCAAAGTGGGCTCCAACTGACCACGCAAGTACCAGATGCAGGAGCCTGGCCCCAGAGGGACCGAGTGACTGTCCTGAGCTGTGGTCTGCACTGCCCCCTGGTGGCATATGGGACGGGAAGGTTGGGGGCCCATCTGTGGGGCACTCTTGACCTGAAAGAAGCTGGCACCAGAGCTCAGGTGCTCCACAGGGTGCCAAGGAGGGGTCTCCTGTTTGCTGACCTTGGCCAGACAGTGGACTTGGCTTCAGACAATCGCTGAGTGGAGCCCGCACAGCCTGGGGCAGCAGCTGGAGAGGGGAGGCAGGGAAGAGTGCTTGGGGGTCCCTTTGGGCTGGACTGGCCACTCCATCCTCCCCCATGGCACTCAGGGAGGTGACAGAAAGATGACCCTCAGAAACAGCTGAGGACAGGACTAAGGGGGTGCAGGCCCTTCACTGGCTGGGCCACAGCTCCCCTCCACGCTGCATTAAGGACCAGCAGAAGCTGGAGGTGGACTGCTTGCTCATCGTGGAGAAGGCAGCTGTCACACTGCTCCCAGCAAACTCAGGGACAGAAGGAACAGGACAGTACTGAGTGGGCTGGCCCCCCTCCCCATCCTTCTCCCACCCTGAAGAACCCTTCAGTGCTGGGTCCATGTGGCGATCAGCCACTCTCCCAGACCCCAACTCGGAGCACCCCACCAGCCCCCCTCCCTCCATGGAGGGTGACGAGGAGGTGGCCTTGGTCCTCCTGGGCAGCGACCCTCATGGCCTGAATGGCCCTGCAGGGACCACTTCACTCCAGTGTTGAAGCTTCCTGCTGGCCTGAGGGCCCCCTAGAGGTCAGTTCAAGGCTCATCTGGGCCCTGCAGTGGCCACCAGACTTGTTGGGGGCTTGGAGCTGGGGGTGTGTCCAGGAATCCAGGTCAAACCTGCCACCAGACTGAAGGGGGAGAGCTAAAAAACAGCCAAGGCCAAGGCAGAGCACCAGAAAGTGTCACTTCTTGAGGCGGGTGCCTCACAGGCCCTGCACACACAGCAGGAAAGCACCAGCAGGAAAGCACCGCGTGAAGTCTGGGGGAAAGACACCCTCCCCCAAAGCACCGGAGCCACGCTGGGGCTGCTGTCTGCCCCCAGGGACCCTTGGAAACAATGCACAGTGCTGGGCGCTGGGTGTGGCCCCGGCCAGAGGCACCAAGTTGTTGTTTTGGCCACAGGGCACCTGCAGTAACACCCCCTCCCCCACAGTCATTGTGCTTTGGTCACAGGGAGCACCTCCCACCGGTAACCCCAGCGGCTGCAGAGAAGCGGGGCCAAGGCACCCAGAGCGAGGCGGCTGGACAGGTGTGGGCAGTGCTGGACAACAAGTCTGTGGGTGGGCGGGTGGTGCTGCCAAGAGGGGCAGCCCTGGGCTCTGGGCACCACGGTGGGAATGAGACAACCACCAAAACACACCCGCCCGAGGCTCAACCCAGAAGCCCTGTCTCTGCGGCCTCTGCAGGCCGCTAGAGCAACGACGCTCCTGCTCTGGAGTCTGGACCCCATGGCCGGGGCCCTGCTTCCGAGTGGAGGGATGTCCGTGATCCAGCCCCAACGTTCTGGGTGCGAGGCGGCCCAGTGGTGTTGAGGCTGAGCGCGGAGGCCGTGGCAGCTGCTGGAGGAAAGGAAACAGTGATGCGGGAGGATGAGCAGGCCCCTGCCCAGCGGGGTCACGGACCGCCTCGCTACCCTGACACACCTGCTAAACGAGCTGCCTCTTCTGAGCACACCCCCCCCCCGGGGGCGCCAGGTGGCTATCCGGGGGGCCAGCTGCACTCACCCCAGACCTTCCCCAGCTGTAACCAGGCCCACAGTGCCGCCCAGGTCAGGAGCCAGGTTTTCTCCATAAAACTCTGAAGGTACTGTGAGTTGTTAGAGGGGCCGGAAGCAGGGACAGAGCCGGGGCAGGGTGGGGTTTACCTGGCATCACAGCAGGAGGAGGCTGGGGCTGCGGAGCTGCCTGTACACCTGCAGGAGCCTCTGGGCGGTGGCACAGGAGCTGGCTTCATCCTCCGTGCACAGCCGGTCCCGCAGGGTCTGCACCTCCCGCAGCAGCGTCTACAGGAAGGAATGGGAGGCAACAGCTAGGGCCCCACCTTCCCACGGGGCACGTCAGCGGGTCCCACCATGCGCAGATCCTACTCGGACTGTGGTAGGTGGTCCAGGAAAAACACTCATCTGTGGCCTTAACGTGATGACCCCTCGGGACAGGAGGCGTGGCTGGGCTGAGGGAAGACCATGTCCCCAGGGGACAGGCGTGTCCTAGCCAATGTGGGACAGGTTGGAGGAGTGGCCATGCTCACTCTGTCCCCACCTCACCCCTGCAGCAGGAGCCCAGACCCGACTCGGCTGTGAGGACTGGGAGCCCCTGCCAAGCTGGGCAACACCCCAGTGCCTGTGCGTGTCCCCAGAGGAGCCCAGGCTGGGGGAAGGTTCCGGGCATGGATCCCTGAAGACCTCACCTCATGGTTGGCCTGGATCTGGTGGAGATACTGCAGGCGGAGGTCAGGCGGGCTGGAGCCCCGGGCAGCCTGCTCCATGACCAGCCTCTGGGGGGACACAAGGGGCACACAGCTGGAGAGGGTGCTTCTCCCGGGTGTCCCAAAGTAGCGCCCGGGGCTCCTGGCACCTGTCCTCCAGCCCGCAGAGCCAGGTGTCCCTTCCCCCTCCCCGAACCATCCATCAGGCCTCCCTGCCTCGCCCCCAGTTAACCTTCACCTCGGGCGGCAGGGCACGCTAGCCCCACCCTGACGATCATTTACTTGGAAGTAACTTTCTTCTCGGCCCTTTCCCCTCACTACCCACCTCCTACCGACACCACTTCCCCATCCTTGGCCTCAGGCCTTGGCACCGCTGTTCCTATCTTGGCCCATGAAAGAGCTGCTTCACGTCCTGCTTTCTGGAGGCAGCCTGGCCGGCTCTCAGGGCTGAACCCAAGCTTGCAGACGGATGCAGGAAGCAAGGCTCCCGCTGGCCTCCAGGGCAGAGCACTGAGAAGAGACCCCGACACCCCAAGGGGCAGCAGGAGATGCTGCCAGTGGCAGAAGCTGCACACCTGACAAGGCCCCCCAGATTCCAAGCGGCCAGGTGAATGAACGCCAGTTGTCACGAGAACACTCCCATTCCACAAGCATAGTGTCAGCAGACGGAGGACAGAGGTCTGCAGCCCACAAGAAGATTCCCATCAAGGGAGTGTCCCCAGCGTTCCACTGGGGGCTGAAGCATGCCTCCCAAATTCACACTTGGAAGCCCCAGCTCCCAGCACCCCCGGTGATTGTGTTTGGAGAGAGGGTCTTCACAGATAAAGTTAAAACGAGGTCACGTGGGTTGGCTTTACTCCCATAGGACTGGTGTCCTTCTAAGAAAAGATCAGGACACGGATATGCAGAGGGATGACCATATGAGGACATAGGGAGGAGTCGGCCATCCACGCGCCCAGAAAAGAGGCCTCAGAAGGAACCACCCTGCGGACACCTGGATCCCTGTCTCCGAAGTGAACGCACTGTGTCCCATCTGCGGCACTTTGTTCCCGCAGCCCCAGGACACTAACTCCCCTTCTTGCTGGAAGTCTGGTCGGTATGCTCCTCCCCCGGCTTCTCACTAACTGTCCACCTCTCAACTGCCGCGCTCAGCGGGTCTGGAGACAGCCCTGCTTGTTTCAGGCCCGGCAAGAGCAACACGGGGCGCCCCCTGGGGGAGAGAAATGCAGGCGTGGGAGTTCTGCTCTAGGGACGGGGGACTCCTGAGCCCGGGAGTGAAGCCATGGATGTGCCACAGCAGGGCCGTCACAGTAGTGCCTGAGGGGGACCTCTGGTCATGGCTTGGCCCCCAGGCTCGCCTGGGTGCACTGGTAGGTCTAGAACAGCAGCCTCGGATCCCTGGCAGAGCTTGGACTGCAGGTTCTCCGACTCTTGGGGTCTGGGGTGGGGCCTGGGGACGTGCACCAAGTTCCCAGGTGAGGCTGACACAGAGCCCATGTTTAAGAGAAAGCGTTGTTGATAGCTGCCACCTCGGACCCCTCTGCGCAGCCGAGGCTGCACACACTCAGAACAGGCAGGAGATGGGCCACCTGACCCTGTGCCCAGCCTGCCAAGGGCACCAGCTGACAGGCTTCCCTCAGGAACACAAAGACCTCCCCTCAGATCCTGGGGTTGCAGCCCCAGTAGCCGCGCATGGCAGTGAAGCAGCAGGAAGGGCCCCTGGAGCTGTGTGTATGGGAGGGGCTGGCTGCCAACTCGCGCTTTCTTGGCGAAGACGTGGAGGCCCAGACGAGCAGACACCTGGTCCCAGGGCCCGAGCCTGGCTTCTCCATGCAAGTGTAGAAGAAATCTCACGCTGGTCTCCAGTGGACTGTCTCCCTTTAACCACGTGTGCTCACAGGCCACTGGGAGCTACTGCCAGGAGGGTGAGCAGCAAGTCCCCCACCCACCTCCCAACCGCCCACAGCTTACCTGCAACCCCGGGCAGGAAGCCACAGACCACCAGGGTCCTGTGTCCCCACCACCCCACAGAGACTTCCCCAACAAGCCCATGATGACCGACAGACCTGCAAACGCCCGATGATGGCGTGGTGTGCCCTGCACATGTTGGCCAGAGAGGAGCTCTCCACCTGGATCTCCATGGCCTGGATGGGCCCTGCTGGGCACAGGTCGGTCACAGCCACCTGCAACACACAAGGAACCTCACTGGCCGTCCACAGCCCTGACCTGCCCGAGGGCAGCGTGGCCGGCGGGAGTGTCCAAGCTGGCAGGGGCATGTGAAGCCTGGGCTTGCGCTCTACATCCCACTGTGGGCAAAGCTCAGGGGGCTCCCAGGGCTGGATCTCCACACTCAACATGAATTTTCACCTGAAGAACCAGCTAGCCAAGCAACAGCAAAGCTGCTCCTTTGGAATATCTGTCCAGGAAGACCCCTCTTCCCTCGGCATCCAGATCCGTGGGCACTCACTCAAGTGCCTGCTGTGGCTGCACCGCCATGGACAGCCCATGCCTGGACCCACCCATGGCCCACACTGTGCATCCTGAGGCACTAGACAGCAGGGTCAGGGTTGCAGGTGTGAAAACAGGGAGGGGGCTGGGCAAGTGAGGTCAGCCCAGTGCCCTCCAGCCAAAGATGAAATCTGGCGAAGATGGGCGAGAGCCAGGACACAAGGCAAGACCCCAGGGGCCTAGGGACCTTAGGAAGGACACTGTCTCCGGCAGCTCTTCCTTCTGGAATCGTAGGATGCACTGGGGCACCCACCCCTCTCCGCCACCTGCAGAACCACCACCAGGCCCCAGGGACACCCGACCTTGACACTGCCTAGTCTTGGCCTGACCTGAAAAGGCTGTCTAGTGGGCAGCCTCCAACCACCATCCTCAGCAAGGTGTGCCCGGCCACACGGGATGCTCCGCCAGAGCCTCCAACGCTGTAGCACAAGGGTCTGCTGGACATGACCCCGAGGCTGCTAGGAGGGTCTCAGAAAGGAAGGTTTGTGCGAGGAATGGGGCTAGAGGACTGAGCTCCACCTTGGTGTCTCAGCGGCCCCTGCACATGGGGCGTCTGTGATGGGACCCAGCACCCTGGTGGTCTAGGGGTTTAGTGGCCTGGAGTCTGGAGTCGCTTGTGCTGCCCCTGGGGGTACAAGTGAGCGACCCGCTCGGGCTGGCTGTGATCTCCAGCAGTACACAGGGCAGGGGCCACGCGTGGAGAGTGCTGGACAGGGCGGTACTCATGGAGACCTGGCTGGGAGCCGACGCTGCCCCTGGCCCCACGAAGGCCACCCCATCACAGCTCGCCTCTCGAACTCGGATGCGTTGGAATCCTCTGGAGGGTGGGCCCCAGAATCTGATTCCTCTCGAGCAACCCAGGGACCCTACTCAGAACTGCTGCTGTCGAGGCCGATTGCCCCACAGGCAGGACAGCTGACCCCTGCTTGCCTCGCGGACGATGAGGTGGACATCAGTGCCATCTGGGGCCACTCCCTGGATGGAGGACAGTGCTTGGGCCCTCACGATGTCCGCGACGGCATTCTCGGCAAGAAGCCACTGCAGGGTGGCAGAACACAGGGACACGCCTGGAGGAGAGAGGTGCGGCTGTGAGGCTGATCAGATCCTGGGAGAGGGAGGAAGGGTCCCAGGCCTCAGCGAAGACAGCTGGTGCCACCAACCTGCGTGATTGTCCCCTAAGGCGGCCCTGAGCAACTCTGCCGACACCTTGACGGTGGCCACTGACGGGGGCAGGTACTTGGCCCGCAGGGACGCTGGTCCTGCAGGCTGGCTGACTGGCCCGCAGCAAGTTTCCAGGAAGGTGTGGATGGGGTCTCTGGCAGGGCTGAGTGGGCCCAGGGCCTGCGTGTGGGGTGCAGCCAGGCCGGGGAAGCGCAGGCCCTGCAGCATGTCCACCGTGTGCTCGCTCAGGGGCAGGCACACGCCGTCCTGCTCAGGCAGGACGTCAGGGGTGCATTCATTCGAAGAGGGGTCCTTGAAAGGGTCCGTGAGGGCAAGGGCCCCACCCACGACCTCCCTGAGGCTGTAGAAGAGTGCGCAGGACACGGTCACGGGCAGGTCAAGCGCACCGTCCTCTCCCGGGCCCAGAGGCAGCGTCACCTCACGCTGACCGCCAGGGCCAAGCTGGTCCACAGGGATGGTGTAGGTGATGGCCGAGACAGCCGAGTCCAGGTCTAAGGCCCGGGAGCTGCGGAGCACCTGGACGCACAGGGCCCAGCCCCGGTCCAGGCTGAAGCCGCTGCTGTTCTCCAGCAGGCAGGTAGCTGTCAGCACGTCCTGCAGCTGCAGGCGGCTCCAGGAGGTGCTGATGGTGCAGGAGATGGGCCTGGGACCCTCCCGGCTCGACAGCAGGGCGCAGCTCACGTTCATGGCTTCGTTGAGGCAGGTCAGGGCCTTGTCCCGCTGGTCAACCGCCTTCTTCAGAGAAGACACTCTGGAAACAGACATGGCTGCTGAGGGAGGGCCCAGACCTCGTTCTTCCTCGAGCATCAGGTGAAGAGCCCCCACCTCAGGGGCTCCTGTCCTGCCCATGCAATCGTCTGACCCAACCTCCTTCTCCAGCAGCAGACGATGGAGCTGGGGCAGCCTGTACTTGGCAGCCTGGCCTCGCCCACCGGGCTCACGGAGCCTTCCCCCCACCCCCTTCAGGGCCACTGAGCCAGGGGTGCCCACGGTGGGGCTGGCCACCCCCACCGTGCTCCCCAACGTGTTCCAAGTTGGCTCCTTTGCTCCTCTGAGGTGCCACAGTGACATCCCAGAGGATGGCAGGCACCCTAGAAATGACCCTAAAACACAGGGGCTTGGCACCCACAGCTGGCCTTTAGTGCCGCCTTTGGCCAGGCAACACAACGTCTGGGGCTATCGCGGGGGTCAGAGGCAAAGTAACAGGCCTGTCCCGGACCAGTGCCACCACCCAGGACACCGCCTTCCGTGGACACCATGCCAGCCTCTGCCCGAGTCTCAGCCCACTGGTCACCTCTCAGAGACAGTGCCAATTCCAGACAGCAACTCCTTAATTTTTTGGCCAGCATTCGCCGAGGTCACTCTGGTGGGGTGAGGCGTCTCAGAGTGCGGGTCCAGGCTGCAGGTCATCAGCCGGCCTTTGGCAGACAGGGCCAGGAGCTCAGCACCCCCTGCAGGTGGACACACGTGGGGCCTGGTCAACAAGCAGGGAGAGGCATGCTGCTGGGAACATACAGCAGTTCCCAGGACTCAGATAAGTGTTGGCAGAACACCTGTGCCCAGGTGAGGAAAAGAGGGTTCTGGAGACATCCCGAAGAGCCTGGGGCGTGTACTGGGCTGGGCATATGCTGTGAAGGGCCCTCCCTGGGACGGGGTGTCAGCACAGCAGAGGTGTCATCTTATACATGGACAGGACTAAAAGGGACCAGACAAGGGCCATCAAATCAGCTGGGTGCATCCCCCCTTCAACAGCCCCCCAACCCCTAGCAAAGCTGCTCTGAGATTTCCTAAGAGAAGGAGGTGCTACACAGGCCCCAGGCCTCCTCCACTGGCCAGTCGGCTCTCACTGGGGCCTTTCTGGAAGCCTGCCGCCTCTCCTCGACATCTTTCTGTCTCCTTTCCCACTCCTGGCCTACCAGGGAGTTCCCCGGGAAACAGGCTCCATCTCCTGTGACCTGCTGGTTCTCCAAGTCCAGTACCACTAGGCCCTGAGACCCGCCCAGAGGTGTGGCTCCCCCATTCCCTGCCACATGTGTCTCTCTTTCCCTGTGGGAGAGACAGCAGTCTTTTCACTTCAAAAGCATTTCTTTCGTATCGAGTATGGTCCACGGTAGGCCTTACAATGCATTCTTAGGCTATCTTAAGGGGAATATGTGCTAGGGGCAGCGGGGCTCTTATCCCTCCCCCTTAACATTGGGCAAACATGGCTGAAACCCCCTCCAGTTCTGTCTGGGGAGAACACACACATCAGAGCTTGGCGATGCCCCCTGCCTTTGGTGCAAGGTGGACTCGTTGGAGGCCACATGGTAAGTAGACCTGAACCAATTTGAATTTCCATTGCACTACTGGCCATGGGAAGATGCTCTTGCCCAGGGTCACTCAGGTGCAGACCCTACCCAGGCAGAGTAGCACAGCCCCCGCCCCTAAACCCACACAGGACCCCAAGACAAGAAGCATCAACCATGAGGCTATGCCAGGGGAGGGTAGGCCTGCCCGGGCAGTTTTATGGAGAACAGGAATGAGGCAGGGAGAGGAGGACGGACAGTTCACAGGGAGGAGACATCAGAGAGGCTCCACCCACCCCATGGCTTTGGTTTTTAGCTTTCAGCCGTGGCTCGTACCTTCAGGCGCCCTAGATGACACAGAGAGGGTGACGACGCTGCAGACACTCAAGCTGGCTGGACACAGCAGAGAGGGCAGGCCTCCTGGGGCCCCGTCACGCTGCGTGAGGTCCCAGGGGGAGACCTCCTGAGCCAGGTCCACTACACAGAGGTCCGAGGGGGTGCTGTGGTACACACGGCCGCCCCTGCCGCGGGCCGCACAGAGCACAGGCCCCGGGAGGCTGTACTCCCGCAGCTCTGGCACCAGATGCCCTGCCTCGTCCCAGCTGGCCTTGATGGCCAGTGTCCGGCCATGGTGACCAAGTGCCACCAGGCAGTCACAGTACACGTCCTCCACATCCTCGGACAGCGGCTCTGTCCTCAAGCCTCCAATGAAGATGACAGGCTCTTCCAGGTGATGGAGGATCTTGACAAGGGCCTTCGGATCACCAGGGGCAGACCTGGAGGTGACCAGGGTCTTGAGGACCACACAGCAGAGCTGGCCATCGGGGAGACCGCAGACGATCACGGGCGACTCCAGGAGGGAGGCATCGGATCCAAAGAGTAGCCCAAAGAGGGCCCCCTCCAGCGTGATGCCCCCAGAGCCCCACGGGTGGCCATGTGGGGCCCTGGAGCCTGGTGGTGACACACAGCACAGCACTGGGAGGAAGCGGGGGGCTGTGGGCTCCTCCAGGCTCCCAGCTGGGGGGGTGCAGGTGGACAACTCCACCTCGCCAATCTGGCCTCCGGGCCTAGGGTCCTCCCCTGGACACGGACACTCAAACAGCTGCACCTTCCACTGGGTGAGGCCCCGTGACAGGGTGATGAGCACGTCATCGAGCACAGTGAAGGCATGCAGTGTGGCACTGGGGAGCACACAGGTGTCTGGGTGCACGGGGATCACAGGGACAGGGAGCTCATCGACCTGCCCATCCTCACTGTCCTGGTCGTCCCTGTCATCCTTGTCATCCCGGCTCACAGACCTTTGAGAACACAGGCAAATGTCAGTTACAGTGCTCACAAGCTCCCTTCGTGACAGCCTGCCACTGACATGACGGGCCTGGGGTCTGTACAAGGAGCGATCTCAGTGACTTATAGCCACCAGGGAGCAGTTGGCATGCCACAGTGCCTCCCACCTGCTCCACGGACTGCTTTGCTCCCCACCAGTCGCCCAGGGACACGTGCATAATAGGATGTACCAAGCCCTCCAGAAATGGGGTTTGGACAGAAAATTCTCATCAGTGCAGAACTGTCAGACCCCCAAGGCCTCAGCTGTGAATCACACCTGCTACCTTTTTTTTTTCTAAACCAGTAGTGAATAGGTGCCCGAGTCTAGGCTCTAGGCTCTGCACTGGTACTGAGGGGGGGCGGGGGCGGGGAGGATGGTGAAACTCCTTTAACCACTGACTCAGGGTTCACAGAGACCCACCTCATAGGTGTGTCATGCCAGACCCACCAAGGCCCATCAAAGCCAAAGGGGCAGCATCCTGCTCCCGGCTGCAGACTCAGCCGCTTGAACCCCGTTTACTAAGAATTCTCTGTGAGCAGGAGCCTGTTAGAGAAGGCAGGTGCTGAGGACAGGGGCCCCCAAGACTTCAGAGCTGGCCCTGAGCCCACCATCCCCACCTTGGAGGCCTGGTGAGTGTTCATTCTGAACCCAGTCCAGGGGTAAAAGGACCGTATAGGTCACAGAGGCAGTGTTTGAGGAGGGCAGGGAAGTACCAGTCAGAGACAGCGAGAAGCCCATTTGAGGCCATGTTCGCCTCAACCCCGGAGAGGCAAGTGTGGACCCGCCCAAAGCAGTGCCGTCCAGCGACCATGCCTCACCTGCTCGCCTGGTCCAAAGACAAGCAGTAGATGCCACTCCGGGCGCACAGAACGTAGAGCGCCCTGCGAAGGGCCAGGAGCTCCAGGTGCCACACCTGACCGGGAAACTTGTACACGGCCTGGACGTCCGGGGAGAACGCAGAGTCAGGCCAGGTGCATGGGGCCCAGAAGAGGCGGAGTACAAACTCCTCAAATACGCCGGGCCTTCGGTGGATTCCCGCCCGGCCCCGCCCCCTCCAGGGCTCAGGAGCCCCGCTCCACTCCGCCCCGCCCTCTCCCCCGGTCCCTGGCCCCTCCCCGGCAGGGGGTGCTCACGATCAGCAGCCGCCCCTCCCGGTCGTAGACATAGACCAGCTCGCTCCCGGTGGACAGGAAGACCTCCGCCCCGTGGCACAGCACGCGAGGCTTGCCCGCCGCCAGGCCCCCGAGCGGGCAGCAGAAGCCCGCCAGGTATTCGACCCGCGGCGCGAGACCGGCCATCGTGGGGTCGCCAGGGAGCCCGGCCACCGGAGGGGTCTCGGGCTCGCAGCGCCGGTGCCAGGGGCGGGGCGGGGCGCGGCGCTTTACGGCCGCCCAGGTCGCAGCGCGGCCTCCGCCGTACAGCGGCGTGGCGGGGGCGGGGCCGGAGCCGGGGGCGGGGCGGCTGCGCGTCAGGTGTTGGGGTTCCCGCGGGAGCCCGGGACCCTGGGTCGAAGGCCACGCCGTTGAGGTAAAGCTAGTGGACACAGAACGCTTTGGCAAAGGGCCAACATGTTTAAAGCCAAACACGGGAAGCCCAAGGGCCTTGGTCTCTCCACTCGTCCGTCCTCCCCCGCGGCTCCATTGGACTCGCCCGAAGTCGCGCTTCCCTCGTGCGCCCGAGGGACGGGCCGGCTCCGGGACCCGGGCCAGTACACTGACTTCCCCAGGGCGGCGGCCCGTCAGAACGCGTCTCCTCCGAGCGGACGGTGCGCTCCTAAAGCGACCTTCTAGCGTTTTGGGGGGCGGTTAGATCTGCGAATTCCAGGAGGGGGCGGGCAGCGTCAGGTCTTGCCACTTCCACAGCCGGGGGCTGGGGGGAGGGGTCCTCGGTCTAGGGATGAGTCTCCTCCTTCTGAGCTGCTGAGACACACCCACGCCTACCCCGTCCCCAGGACACTGCTGCGTCTGAGCTTAACATGGACCGAAGTGTCCCTTCTTTCATGGCTGAACGAACTGTCTGCGGGTGTGTTGGACTGAACGGACAGTGGGGAAAAAGGGTAAGCCAGAGGAATTCTGGGTTGAGGGCAGAAGACCATGAAGAAAATGACTGGCTGGGCCTTGGTAAGGGGGGCAGCTCACCATCAGTCAGCGTGGAGGGTCAGGGTGAAGACAGGGCAAGACACCTCTCCTTCCCAACCCTGTCCTCCAAGGCTCTGGGGAGAGGTGCTTATCAGAGGGGCCAAGAGTTCTCCGAATGAGACAGACCCAGAGCGACCCTGAAAGGTGCCTGCAGACAGGTCAATCACACCCCTCTCCTTTAAGAAGCCAATGGGAGAGGCTCCAAGGTCAAACACCCATGAATGAAAGAGGCATCTGGAGGGGTGTGGCCAGACAGGGCAAGTTGAAGGAGCCCAGCTGCCAAGTGTTTTCTGGGCTTGAGTTAAGCTGACCTCACCAAGGCTGGTGTACCTGCCAAAACAAAGAACCAGTAGCAAAAGTTCTAATTCCCCTTGTTGAGGTTGGTGCTCAACCCCCAGGGCAGTGGACCGCTACTGTTTCAGTGTTTCTGGGTTGGACCCAGCATCAGCATGCCCTCTTGAGACCAGCTCCCATGTGGCTTTTGGAACTAGAAGTGAGGACATGGTCCTTTCAAGAGGAACACCACTCTGAATCCCACCTCCACCCCCCCCCCCAACCTGAGTGCTCAAGTGTTCTTGGCTGGTCTTCTGACCACCAATCCTTGTGGCCACATGCTCACACCAATTCCCAACCTGGCCCTCCCAGACTATTTCCCAACACCAAGGGAACTACACCAGGATTGTCCTAGAGAAAATGACCGTATGGGGAAGTGCATCTGGGAGGTGGGCTAAGCTGGCCAGGCCTCACCTCCCAGGTTCAGCCCTGACTGGCCAGGCACTGTAAAGTTGGTCATTCCTCTGTCCCACTCCCTTCTGCTCAGGGGGGCTAGCAGGCTCCTGGCCCCAAGTCCAGGCAAGACCCACACTCTGTGATACAAGGATTTATGACCATCTACAGTGTATCTAAACAGCGAGGGGGCCCTGAACGCTGATCCCCCCGGAGGTTACAGAGCAAAGGGCTTAGCCAGCTCAGGGGTGATGTGGGGTGAGGGGCCCCTCATGTGGGTGCACATGGAAGGCCTGTGGCAGGAGGCCTGTGAGACAGCAGAGTGTGCTGTGGATAGTCAGTGGTCTCTATGCCACACGTGGGGGCTACATCTTCCCAAGGACAAACTACCACCAGACAGCATTAGGGGTGGGGAGGGACAGGACACAGCATGTGCAGGGAAGCTGCAGGCTGTGCCAGGCACTTATAGGCAGCACAGCCTGCCAACATGTTGAACATGCCAGGAAAGGGGGTGGCAGGACCCTGAGTTCTATTTCCAAGCAGTACACTCCACTTGCTTGATTTCAGGGGGAGGGATGACGTTCCAGAACCTCATCACTTCACGGAACCAACAAGGTCAGCAGCCTGAGCCAGAGAGAGAGCAGGACACTGCTGGTAAAAGTAGGCAAGCTCAGGGACAGGACTGGAGCCAGGTGCTGAGGGCCCACCCGCCCCAGTCCAGAAGCTAGGCTGGGCCTGCCTCTCCCCAGGGCCCCTTGGACATCAGTGGGCAGTGTTTCTTATATACTTGTTCAGGAAGCAGTGAACCAGTGGCCAAAGGACAGAATGGGTTGTAAGGTACCTGTGAAGGCTGGTAACTGAACATCAGGGGGAGCGCCCCCTGGCTGTCACTCGACAAGTGTCCCCCTCCAGGCCTTGCTCCTCTTGCATCTGTGCAAGCCTGGGGGATTCTGGGCACTATCCTTCACCTGCTGCCTGGCGGAGTGCACCTCACCCACCACGAAGAGGCCAGGAGCAGCCACATGGCTGACAGGCAGAAAAGGTGCAGAAAAGGCATGGAGGGAGGCCAGGCTCTGCTCCTCCAGTGGACGTTACACTGGGAGCACAGGGCCGAGGAGCCTGGGCAGGAGGAGTGGGTCTCTACCCTTCAATACTCTAAACATGTCAGCAGACAACAGTGATGTGTGGAGGGGAAAGTCATCAAGTCGCCTGACAAGGTAGGCAAGTCAAGGCTCAGGGCAGGGAGAGGCCTTGGGGCCCAGGAAGGACAAACAGGGCGCTGGCGGTCGCTTCAGGTGCTTTTATTGGTTCAACTGCAGGGCTGGAGTCCAGGCAACGCTACTACAAACCCAACCGACACACACCTGCAAGCCCCAAGTGGGAGCACCAGGAGCAGGCTGGTTGGTGGAGGCCGGGCACCTGGTCCCCCCTCGCTGAGCTATGGTGCCTGGTGCCTGGTGGCATGAGAGGGTGTGTCCACACAAGGGCAGGTAGGATGAAAGTGGAGCTGGGGGCCCCTCCCCTATGCAAGAGGAGATGGCTAAGCTGCCTGGGCCCGAGCCTGTTGGCAGGTACCCCCACTCCTTATGTTGACCCCCGACTCTCTTTGGACAAAATAAAGTGCATTACTGAACAAAGAGTGACTCAAAACCAGAAGCAGAGAAATCACAACACTTTTTCTTTAGCTAAAAGATAAAAGGAAACGAACTATGCAGATGCCAGAACTTCAGGGTGAGTAGGACACTGGGCAAAGAGAAAAGGAAATTAGCTCGGTAGATAAAGACCAGAGCAAGTACAGGAGGAACGGTGGGGGCCGCGAGGTCTGAGGTCAGCGCCCTCCTGCTCCCCTGCAGACTCACATCTGATCAAAGGAGCAGATGACTTGGGCCAGATGGTCCTCCCAGCTTGCTGGCAGGTGGCCACAGATGAACTGGGGAAACAGGGGGCTCTGCACCTTCTGCCCCCCAGGACAGATCCACTGTAGCCAGACCCAACCCCACTGGCCACTTGGTGTCCCACACCAGGTGGACCTGGAGTGCCAGGCACAGCCCTTGCCACAGGTGAACACATGCCCAAGTGCTCACTGTTCACAGGCCAAGGGCGAGGGAAGGTCACACAGGCTTGCCTCCTGCCCTAGGACAGAGACATGAAGTCCCCAAGCAGCCTGTGTCTGGGTCAGCCTCTCCCATGGGTGGGTGCAGTGCAGCTCAGAGATACGGCTCTTGTTAAGGCAAAGAGGCATCAGGATGTCCACGTCTCCCGGGGAAAGGCCAGACCGGAGCCCAACCACAGAGGAAACGCAGGGACCCCAAAGCACATGCAAAGTCTGACCACAACCTTTGTCCTGAAATAGCCTGGACCCATACCTCAGCACGGTACCTACTTTCCAACGTCCCTGCAGCAGCCCCACAGCTGCTGTACTGTGGCCTGGCCTGTACCGGGGCCACATCACCGTGCCAGAGGCCAGGGCCCGGGCAGGACAACAGGAAGGAATGGTGTGTGGGGTGAAGGGGACCAGAGCTTCCAGCTCTGCCTGGGCCACCCAGCTCACCCCATGCAGGCCTGGTCAGCAGTGCTGGCCCCCCGGAGAGGCTGCCTGCTCAGTGGGAGCCAGCACTAGCTTCCTGCTTGGACTACCTGGGTCTGCACCTGTCCCAGCCATGTGGCTTGGCAGGAAAGTCTCAGGCACTGAGGTTCATTTGTGAGGAGACCTGACTGTGGGGCCCCCGTCCACCCACCCAGCCTGCAAACACCTCCAGGGACTCACTGAAGGAGGGACGAAGGTGGAAACTAGTCTCTCTCCTTTTATGCAGTTTTTATCTTAAAAAAAAATAAATAAAAGTCTTCTTCGCAGGAATTACTGGTAACTGTTATTACAACCAAAGCAGACTTTAAGGTCCCCCCTGAACGCTGGGTGAGAGCAGGAAAGGGCGGGCAGCAGATTCACCTGCAGACCAAGCGGACAGAAGAGCAGCGAGCCCGTGGCTACGCATTTCCACCACACGATGGCTACTGGAAGGGGAAGAGGTGGCCCTCACAGGCAGGGTCTGCCCCAGAGCAATGGCGTATAGTCACCAAGAGCTCCCAACCAAAAACATGGGAACCAAAAGCATCCAAAGGAAGGAAAAAAGAAAGCTGGATGGTGCCAGCAAGCCCTCCCACCCCCTCAATTCCAGGTGATGATTTAGAGGCACCTAGTCCTTCTACCACAGTAGGAGCTGCTGCAGGGCATCCGGATGAGGCCATACGGTGCCTCCACCAAGAGACTGGTTTCAGCCCAAGAGCACCAGCCTGGCTCCCTCCCTCCAGGGAAGCCTGGTGCTGAGAAGCTTCATGGGTCAGAGACCCCCAGGGCAGCCACGCCCGCCTCGCCTTCAGGGCTGCCTGCGGTGGGGCATGGTTGCAACAATCCTGGCTTCAGAGAGGGCTAGGGTGGGCCCAGTCCGGGCAGCAGGGCCCGGGAGCCCTAGGTCCTGGGGAGGCTGCACATCTCGCAGTGGCCGGTGCCTGGCTGGTTCATGAAGGTGCAGTGCTGACAAGCCCACATGGCGGCCGAGGTGGTGTGTGCAGAGCCCCCGACGGCTCCGTACTCGTGGAGGCCTGGAAGCTGCACACCGACTGTGCCTGTGGGGCAGGAGGAGAAGCAGTGTTCATTTCTGCACTGGGAAGCTGTCCCACCCCATCTGAGAGCTCTGCACAGCTGCTTATCAGGGTAGGAGTGGACTCTAAAGGCAACTGCTGCAGGCGTGGACAGATGCGGCTTGAGAGCCCCTACTGTGGGTCCCCTGCTCAAACACAGAACACCGATAAGTAAAGCTGCTGTCTGCAGAGCGGAAAGCTGTCAGCTGTGGCCACTCATGCACCTGCCCACCCTCCTTGCTTGCTGTGTCAGTGGTTCCTTCCTTCTCACTGCTGAGCAGTAGAGCTCGGTGTGAACACCATCCCTAGTTATCTATCCCCCTCCTGATAGACAGTTGGGTCACTGCCAGGTTTGAGCCATTGTGAACAAAGCTGCCATGAATATTCTTTTTTTTTTTTTGCGGTACGCGGGCCTCTCACTGCTGTGGCCTCTCCCGTTGCGGAGCACAGGCTCCGGACGCGCAGGCCCAGCGGCCACGGCCCGTGGGCCCAGCCGCTCTGCGGCACGCGGGCTCCTACCGGACTGGGGCACAAACCCATGTCCCCCGCATCGGCAGGCCCACTGCGCCACCAGGGAAGCCCACCGTGAATATTCTTAAAACAAATCTTGGTGTGGATCTGTGTTTGCATGTCTCTTGGGTAGCAGTGGGCTCGCTGGGTCATCCTCACTGGGCGTGCGAGAGCTCCAGCTGCTGAGGGAGCTCGTGAGCACGCGATGCGCCCAGTGTTTGCATCTCAGCCACCCTCAAGACGTGTAATGGTACCTCGTTTAATTTTCATTCTTCTGACGACTGATGGTGACCATCACTGTAATTCTTTTTATGGAACATCTTCTGTGGAATATCTTCTCCCAGTCTTCTGTTCCTTGCCTTTTCAAGTTTTTTTTTTTTTTTTTTTGCGGTACGCGGGCCTCTCACTGTTGTGGCCTCTCCCGTTGTGGAGCACAGGCTCCGGACGCACAGGCTCAGTGGCCACGGCTCATGGGCCCAGCCGCTCCGCAGCATGTGGGATCTTCCCAGACCAGGGCACGAACCCGTGTCCCCTGCATCGGCAGGCGGACTCTCAACCACTGCGCCACCAGGGAAGCCCTGTCTACAGGGATTTTGACTGAGATTGTAGTGATCAATTTAGGGAGAACTGACATGTTAAAAATATCTTGTCTTCCAGTCCAGATAGTGGGATTTCTTTTCCATTTGCTTAGCTCTTCTTCTGGCAGAGTGTTAGTTTTCAGCAAAGAGCTCTTACGTAGCTTCCACTGACTATGTCCCGAGATCTCTCATGTTCTGTGACTCTGCATCTGTAAAGGGTACTCTATTGCTAATTTGTGTTACCAACCCTATGCAGTGACTGGAATTCCACGAGTAGTGTATCTGTTGACAGCATTTGACAATCACGTCGCACTTTTTTAGCAAAGTGAGTGTCGGTGAACACCAGGCGCTCTCCCAACAGAGGCTGCACGCAGCAGGTCCAGACAGTGTCACCCTGCTGCTGGAGGACTGACACCTGACTCGGGCTTGGGTTTCTTCCCACCCTAAGTATGAGGCATAAAGCAGAATGGGACCCAGCTCCTATGGGGTCGCTAGTTTTTCATTAGTGTCTAATGGGGTTGGCAAAAGCAAGCCAAATACTCAGACTGAAACCTTTCCTGATCTAGTTTTCCATTCCCCCAACTGGGCCAATGCTTGTCCAGGATAACCTCTTAGCTAACCCACCCCCTGTCCCGGCTTCCCTGTGTGCACTTTCTGGGCTGAGAGAGAGGGCTCCAAACTACTAAAGCTGCTCACTCAATGTCTGTGTGTGAAGCATTTGAAGAATAACACCAGGGGCCTGGAGAGCCCAGTACATGGGAGAGTTGGACCAGGTGCTGAGATCCTGGCCGGCACCTCACCACTGTCCACCCAAGGACACAAGGCCGTGGGCTTCGCTGTAGGGAATTGGTGGGAACAATGGGTCCTCTGTTTCAGAACGTGAGGGCAAGAAGAGTACATGGCACATCCAGCCCTTTTACTGTTTGGTTGTAAGAATCGTATAAGAAGAAAAATTAAGAAGAAGGACGACACAGTGAATACCAAAGCTCCAACCCCTGAGCTCCTAGGTACTTAGTGTCGACAGAAAATAAGAACCCTGCTGGACTCCCTGTGCCTTGGGTTCCACTGAGGGTTTCCTGGCTAATTTTGGCTCAAGTATCAGCCCACTAGATTGAGAAAATATTTAAACACTTTTTTATATGTACTTTCATTGTTGTCTTCAGGGGGCGTTACAGTACTTCTCAAAGCCGCAGGGAAAAGGGCCACCATGGTCACTGCCCTCTCGAGCTCTCAGCTGGGGGGCTTGGTGGCCACGGCACTGGCAGCGTGGGGGCAGCTCCCAAGGCTGATTGACAGAGGCGCTCACCCGGGAGACACAAGATCCCCGAACTCTATTCTCTAACTCTTTTCCTCCTTAGCCACCAAGAATGCTCTGAGAACTGATGGGAAAGGGGAAAAGAAAAGCCTGAGGAGTCCAGAAGGTCTCTGCACTCAGCACTTAGGTGAGTGTGAAGTTTCTGTTCATCTAAAACAATGACTTTCAAACTGCTAAGATGCTTGAAGAATAGCGTATCTGGTATGTACGTGTTGTACAAAAATCCATGGAACAGTATACCCAAAATCTGTGGCCTTTACGCGTATGTTATAGTGATGAAAACATCTGTGGGCCCCGGCAGAGGTCTGCTTGTTCCACTGCCCACGATGCTGTCAGAAGGCATCTGGGGTCAGGTGTCCAGGGCCCGGGAAGAAGTACTGGAGCCCTGAAGGGCAGGAGTTTGGGCCCTGGCAATGGGGACTGCGGGAGGGTAAGACACTTACTGCAGAGCTGCTCGATGGTGGCCCACTGCTCAGACTTCTTCCACGTCTGGGCGAGCTCCTCATTTCTGGTCCTCACGGCCTCCAGCAGCAAGCTGATGCTGTCCTGCAAGAAGCCAAAAAAGAAGGTTCCAACTCGCTTCACTGACAGTAGATAGACTTGTTCACAAGTTTCTTTTTCCCCAACATCAAGACACACTTCAGAGGGAATTTCAAAAATCTCACAGGCTGTCACTATGAAATGCAAAACACCACACACTTAGGTTTATAAATACAAGTGCTAAATTCTTCCCAGAGATCCCCAGGTTGGCCGCTGTGCTACTCTGTGTCCCAGGCTGGCTGTGCTCCACCCCCTAGGTAATCATAGCTCACAGTCCTTCTCCTGAGGGCCTGGGTGGATGGGCAGGAGCCTCATGGCCGTGAGGCCCACCCTCTTCCCTCACAGCCCCCTCGGCCCTCTGTTTTCTCCATCACGTCTGTATCTCAATACACTCTGCATCCTAGGCCTCCAGGGTCAAAGTGAAGAGAACTAAATAGTTTTTATTTTTATTCTTTTTTTGCGGTACGAGGGCCTCTCACTGTTGTGGCCTCTCCCATTGCAGAGCACAGGCTCCGGACGCGCAGGCTCAGCGGCCATGGCTCACGGGCCCAGCTGCTCCGCGGCATGTGGGATCTTCCCGGACCGGGGCACGAACCCGTGTCCCCTGCATCGGCAGGCGGACTCTCAACCACTGCACCACCAGGGAAGCCCTAAATAGTTTTTATAACGAGAGACTTCGAAAGCCTTCCAGGGGCTCTCAGGCAGTATCTACAGAAAATGCTTCCTAACAAGTGACTGCAAAACAGCACACATTTTCCAGGGAGAAGGCCCTAAGCTTTCACCACCTCCCCAACCGGAGGGGCAGCAGCTAAGCCGGGGGCTGGAGGTGCAACTCTCTGGGCTTAACAGGGAAGGCAAAGCCAGTGAAAAGTTTCGGGGTGCCTGGTGTCAAGTATCACAAATGGGTAGTTTGGACAAAACACAGACACAAGATACAAGAACAGCTATAGGCCACCTGACATAGAAAAGCAGTGGGAGGAAGGAGCCTCTCCTTTCTACTCTGTCACCTCGCAGAATGCATTTCCTTGGGTCCCAGGCAGGAAAAGGGCCAAAGTAAAAGGACAGTCACGACACAACCCATGCAAGGGGCTTCCTGGCTGGCCCTGCTGGCCCTGTGCTGCTCAGAAAGCAGCCGCCATCTGTAACACTCGCCCTCATCTCCCCCAACAGCATGTCTTAAAAACGCCAACTGTGCAGCTGTGTGCCTGGGGCCTGGACGCTGGCCAACCTTCTGGGCCAAGGTGATAAACTGGAGCTGATTCGGGAAGAGGGGAGAGAGATCGGGAAGAAGCAGAGGCTGGGATTCTCAAACTGTTCCAACAGGAATTTTTAAATTGTTGGATCCCTCATGTTCCCGCTAGAAGGACACAGAGCTAAGCGGCCTCTGCGTCCCACGTGGTTCTAACAAATGGAGGAACTGTCCTCCATCACAGAGGGCAGACGCTTTTGAACAAGCTGTTCCAGTGTAAACGCTAAAAGTGAAAAATTCACCTTTCTATCAAGGCCTTTGTGCAAAGCTGCTGCCCACAGGACAGGTTAAGGGGGACTTAGCTGCTCTGGTGCTGCCCAGCGTGCTCTGGTCTGAGGAGTGGAAGCCCACTTGGCCCGTACCTGCAGAGGCATGACGTCATTGGTGACCAGGAATAGCAGGAGGTGGAAATCCGAGATAGTGTCCAGGAACACGGATGAGGTGTTCTGAGACAGGTAGGTGGCCAGGCTGTGGAAGTCCTGGAGTGCCAGGTATGGGGGGAGACAGACACGAGCACCCGTTAGTCCCAAGCCAGAGTCGCAGGAGAGCCACTGTCCTACAAAGATGGAACTGAACACGTTCGGCGCTGATGGATGGGCCTCCCCGTCTCCTTCCAGAACCACTTACTGGGAGCGAAGGACAGAGGAACGCAGTTGCAGAATAAGCTGTGGCCTCATCTCCCAGGAAAACACTCTCAGTACATTTGACTTATGGAAGAGTGTAAGCAACATGTCTGTGAAGCTGACCCAGCTGTGAGACATGTTCAAACTCACCTCTGGGGGCCAGTGGGAGTGGGAAGGGCCACTGCGGGGCTGGGAGAAGCCCCGTCTGTCTAGGTACATTGTTGATCCAGGGCAGCACGGTAGTGAGGAGTAGGAATCGGGGGGCGGTGGGGAGGATTACGTGACACTAACACTTTCAACAGGAGTGAAAGCGGGAGATTCAAGACTGCCACCCCAGTCAGTGGCTCTGCACCTCCACAAGCACCTGGGCAGATGGGCAGTGAGGAAACCAAAGCATCAGAGAGGCCTTGTACACTAATCACAGCTTCAGAAGACAATCTCACTGTACCCATTCTTTAACCAGGCCCCTTTCTGTAGTGCCTGTTATCAACTTGGGATGTGTGTTCACAGACCATTGATGTGGCAGGACAAGGCAGTCACAGCAGTTCTGATCGGGCCTAATGTGCAGGTGAGAGCCAAGGTGGCCAGGCCACATGCGCCCCCACGGCTTGGATGGTGCCTGAGAAACATGGCAGGGTGATGAGGTAGGGGGCAGAGCACGCAGCAAAGTGAGACACTGTCACAAAAGACAACGCTTACCAACAATCAATAACGTTGTTGGGAGAGGACAAAAAGTGACCAATAAAACAGGCCCCCTGAGAATGGTCCTTCCAGCAAATCCACAGGCCTGAGGGCTTACAGGGATTTGCCTCTGTGCTCATCCACTGCCCCTGCCCTGGAGAGGGCTCATGTGATCAGCAGTGTCTTAGACAAAGGCCTAGCCAGGTTTTGTCACAAAAACAAATCAGGAGAGTCAGAAAGCTTGCTACTTTGTAGAAGAACAATAGTGACACTAGATAAACAAACAGTAGGGTCTCTAAATTATGTTTCTAAAGACAAAGAGCTTACCTGTGTCTCACCCAATACATCCCGGTTTTCAATAGGAAATGGATTTTGTGAAATAGAAAAAGTATAAACTGGATCCTTGGGGAAAGTTGTTGTGATCTAATGAACGAAAACACAAACCCGTGATAAATTAACTGTGCTATAAACAAGGGTGTGGGCCCTGAGCACACCCCTCCCTGGAGCCCTGAGCTGCTCACAGCAGCAAGAGTCCTAACTGTTCTACACTGAAGGGACTGCTTAACTATTAGGACAGCCCCTAAATGAAAACTCTGAAAACTGTGACTCTGGAAGGCAAACGGAAGAATCGTTTTTCATGACTGGTAAGATCATGGTGCCTGTGGGCAGGTTCCTAACTCCAGCCCCACTGGGACGGCCTCTCACACAGCTGCTCTCCTGCTGCCGCGGGTGAACCAGAGAGTGGGCCACAGGAAAGAGCACAGGTGTGAGCGCCATCTCAGGAGCAGACTCTGTTCCTGTCACCGGGTCTGGAGGGCATGTGCAGAACCAGCCCCTGATGGTTTTGAGAGCCACAGTGCCCTCCAGCGAGCTGGCTGAAGCCTTCTGAATTCCCAGGCACCACTCCATGGAGCCTGGGCATGTCCAGGCAGGAAGAGAAGCAAGGCCACTGAGATGCAGGCATGGCTCTCGCCTGAAGATGGCTGGAGTCAGGAGCTTGTGTCCAAAGGGGAGCCTAAGCCCTTCATTTGGCTCAGACATGCTTTAGAAACGACAGAGGGGATTTTAAATCCTACAATCAATAGAAGCTACAGGGACAGTGGCAAATGTGCAAGAATCAATACAAGTACAGTTTCTCATTCCTCCTGGCAGATGCTCCTCCCCCAAAACGCACCCAAGTGTTAGCCATCGTCAGCCATCTTTCGGCTGACACAGCTTTCCCTCTGCACTGTAACACTAGCAGCAGCAGATTATGCCTCGTCCAGATTGAGCGTAGCTATTCTGGTTCCTTCGGGACTATTTCTAAAGAATGAAAATGTTGCTCTGGCCTGTTTTCTGCATCAGTGAAGGCAGCGAGCTGTTCCAGGCCTGCTGGCCCAGGACCTGCTGTGACTGTGCCAGCGCTGTGAACGGTAAGCTGAGCCATCAGCGGCTCCCTAAATCGAGCCCCGCTGGCCTTTTATGGACAAGACCACGTGGCCTCAGGGCACAAGGTGTGGCCTTGGGCACACTGCCAAGTCCTACTGTGAGGCCTCGCTCTGTTCATCAGAGAGATACAGACGACCAGAGAGCCCAAGCCTCCTAAGGCTGCCGTGAGGATCAAATGCACCCAGACACGTGGAGCCCACAGAATGGGTGGCACATGTGGGGCTCAGTCTCAGCTGTTGTCATGATTCTAGAGATGGCAGAGGGGCCACTCTGCTGCAGAGGCAAGGCCTGTGGCCTGCTCTCGCCCCTCGCTTTGAAAGGCAGATAAAGGAGTGGACCAGCAACAACAGTAGGCCCACTAGTTAAGTAAATGTGGAATTAAGGGAAGTATTTGTTAGACCTGTAATTGCAACAGACCTTGGAGAGCAACAGAACTGAGGTTCATACTGCAGTCTGAACATCCCAGATGCCGGGGGAGAGGATGCAGGGTGGTGAGCACTTTGTTTTCTGCTCAAATCCTCTCCCTACCCAGCCTGCCTTGTCACCTAGCTGATGCCTGGCCACCTGCAGAGCACCTCTGCAGAAGCCTGGAAGAGCCACCTGGTC